CAACTTCGAAGGGAAAAAAAAGAGAGAGAGAGAGGGTGATTCGGCCATTTCCAGGGGCTCAGAGTAGAGCTTGCTCCGCCACATCGAAAGGAGCCAGTTGAGGTGGTTTGGGCATCTGACAAGGATGCCCCCTGGGCGAGGTTTTCTGGGCATGTCCCACCAGGAGGAGGCCCCAGGGCAGACCCAGGACACGCCGGAGAGATTATATCTCTCGGCTGGCCTGGGAACACTTTGGTGTTCCCCCAGATAAGCTGGAGGAGGTGGCTGGGGAGAGGGAGGTCTGGGCTTCTCTGCTTGGCCTGCTGCCCCTGAGACCCGGCCCCGGATAAGCGGAAGAAAATGGATGGATGGATGTTTTGAGTTATTTTATGCTTTTTTTGTTTTACATAATTCCATGTGTTCATATGTAGTTTTAATGCCTTCAGTGAGAATCTACAATGTAAATAGTCATGAAAATAAAGAAAAACCATTAAATGAGAATGTGTGTCCAAACCTTTGACTGGTGGTGTATACCCTAAATAATACCGTATTTTCACGACCATAAGGCGCACTTAAAAGTCTTAGATTTTCTTCAAAAAGTACGGCGCGCCCTATAGCGCAGTGCGCCCTGTGTGTTGTAAGGAGGACGTAGTAGAGAACACCATGAGAACGCTAAAGGGTGAAGTGTGGGCGCAACCCTGAAAATGGCAAAGAGACACGCTTATGAAGCACAGTTTAAACTGAAGGCCATCAGCTACGCGGAGGAACATGGAAATCGAGCAGCGGCGAGAGAATTTAAGATTAACGAATCGATGGTTCGCAAATGGAGGAAGCTGGAAAACAAGCTCCGGCAGGTCAAGAAAACGCAGCTGAGTTTCCGCGGACATAAGGCGAGGTGGCCCGAGTTGGAGGAAAGACTCGAGCGGTGGATCATCGAGCAAAGAAGCGAGCGGGAGAAGCGTTTCGACGGTCACCATTCGGCTAAAAGCAGTTTCACTTTCACTTTTTATGAAACGGTGCCATTTTTCCATCCGGACCAGGACTACGGTAGCGCAGCAACTTCCAGCGGATTATAAGGAAAAGCTGGCCATCTTCCGCTCCTACTGCAGCAAACACATCGGCGACAAAAACATCCAGCCCAGCCACATCACAAACATGGACGAGGTCCCGCTCACTTTTGACATCCCGGTGAGTCACACTGTGGAGAAGAAGGGGACCAGCACGGTAGCGATACGCACAACGGGGTATGAAAAGTCTTCTTTTACTGTTGTGCTTGGCTGCCATGCTAATGGACAGAAACTGCCGCCTATGGTGATTTTTAAGCGAAAGACTTTGCCTAAAGAGAAGTTTCCAGCAGGAATCATCATTAAGGCAAATGAAAAGGGCTGGATGGATGAGGAAATGATGAAAGATGGCTGAGGGAGGTGTATGTAAGGAGACCAGGTGGTTTTTTCCACGCATCACCATCGCTCTTAATCTGTGACTCTATGCGTGCCCATCTCACAGCCAATGTGAAAAAACTAGTGAAACAAATGAACTGTGAGCTTGCTGTCATTCCGGGAGGCCTGACAAGGAACTCCAACTGCTGGACATCGGTGTGAACCGCCCGTTCAAAGTAAGGCTGCGAGCGGCCTGGGAGCGATGGATGACCGATGGAGACCACAGTTTCACCAAGAGTGGAAGGCAGCGCCGGGCGAGTTACGCCACAATTTGCCAATGGATTGTAGATGCTTGGGCTAACATGTCTGCTGGCACTGTTGTTCGAGCTTTCGCAAAAGCCGGCATCATTTCCGAGGAGCCGCACGGCACGGAAAGTGACTCTGACAGTGAAGAAAGTGAACCTGGCATGTTTGATGGAGATTTAGCGCAGCTGTTCAATTCAGACACAGAGGATGAGGACTTCGATGGGTTTGATTGATGATAAAAATGTGAGTACCAAACTTTGTTTTGCTCCTGCTTTATTTTTAAATACGCACACTTGTATGCTTGTGTGTTGTTGATGATGACGATTACTGGTAATAAAAATGTGAGTAAGGTACCGAACTCAGGTTTGCTCCCGCTTTATTTTTAAATACGCATACGGTACTTGTATGCGCCCTATGATCCAGTGCGCCTTATGTGTGTGTTAAATACAGTAATGGCACACATAACTGAGACTGCGCCTTTTAGTACAGTGCGTCTTATGGTCGTGAAAATACGGTATACGAGAAATGACTAATTGAAAGATCAGATTATTGTAAGGTTTTTACTAGACCACTTGGAAATGTAATTAACATGTTACCAGATAAATTGAGAACTATAGGCAGTATCCTTTTTTGACTCAACTCGGGCTGTATTAGAACATCATAACTAGAGTTTCATACTCATTTATTTATTTGGTGTGTAGCTCTCCCTTTAAGAGTGGATCTGCCCTAGCAAGCCGTCTGTGCAAAGCAGCGATGATGCACCGCTTCAGGTTGGTGGCCAAAGAGGCTCAGAGGACGGACCTGCTGGCCACAAGTACCTACAGAGAAGCCAAGGTAAACTCAGCACCTTCTTCTGTGTAATCTGAAACTTTATTTTAGCAATGTAAACTGCTGTACACTGATCCAATAGAAAGCAAATGCTGTTAAACACGTTAAAATAACCACCACATAAGCTTATTGTATTTTCTGCTTTTTTAAATGACCGTTTCCTGACTTGCTGAATTGTTGTTTTAAAAAGAACCCCAAGCTGTTATTCATACTATATATTTTTTGGGTCACTGAAGATGATGGCAAAGCCATACCAGGAAGCCAAGAATGTGCTGCGGGCGTACCTGTTGCAGAAGGGCTTTGGTTCCTGGCAAGACAAGGTTTTGGTTAGTGATAACTTCAGCATGTGAATAATGTTACAACATTAAAGAAGAATTTTGATCAATAATCAGTTGTGTTCAAAACGTTCAGCCTACTTTTCATTTGCACCACTTGCTGCATGTTGGTTTCAGAATTTGTTTTTTCAAAATACGTTTAAAGATTTGTAGAAAATAATTTGAAAGCACCCAACATAGAATATTGCACCACAACTGGTCTTTAGTTTTGCTTCTTTCAGTTAATACATGTACTGTATATTAAGTACATTCTTTCTTTATTAACATTTTCACTGGTTCATATACTGTATCTTTTGTGATGGAAATGGCCATAGAGCTTAGGACAGAAAAAATAAAAGTATGTCAGCCAAAGCTCATATCTATTTTTTTTGCCACTTGTATTTTTTATGGTGAATTTTCTGTTGGAGTCAAATTGTTACTTACATTTGTAAGTCTTAGTTCAAGCAGCATGATCAAAGACATTCCTTTGTTTCTCACCCCCTCCCCAGACTGTTGAACGGTGGGGGAGGCTGT